TATGACATATGAGGTCAGTGCTGCGCATGCGCCAGTGAGTTTCGTGAAAACCAACGTTTGTTAACTGGAGCAAAGGAAGCAAAGTTTCCTTACCTTAGCAAAGGAAAACCCAGTCTCCTCTTGGTTTATATCGAAATCCTCCGACATTCTTCTTTGCAATTTAAATTTTGGGTGAACTAATCCTTTCATTTTGGACACTAAAGATGTTTTAGTGTTACTAGGTATATCTCATGAATAGAGTATATATAATTAAATGTATATAAATATATATAATAGAAGAAATATAATGTATTTTTTAAAATCTAGTAAATTTGTTAAATCGACTGTTATCTAGCATAAAAGGGGCTTGACCTTCTCAACAATTAAAATCCCACAACAGCAACGTAAGTTTTACCAAATCTCTTGAATAGATATTCAGTTAATTGTATTTAAAATATTTTTGATATACTCCAATGTCCAAAAACATTTAACTTTGTCCCAAAGACATGTCGCAGTTATGGATTGTGAATTGCATGCAAAAAACAGAATGACTCGTATAAAATTTAGTTTGATTATTTTGAATTAAGCAAACTTAAGCACCTCTTTTAAATGACCATTTGTTGAAAAAAAAAAAAAGATAAATAAATATATACTTTAAATATTGTTTTCAACATTTCAGGCCCTATTTTGTTCCGTTTTTGTGGAATATGCCACGTCATCACTGTCAATACATATCGAGTCTCGTCTACTCTATTGTCGTTCAGACAGTACTACTTTTGTTTTATTTGCGAGCTCTCTGTAGTCATGCCTCATAAAATCTCTTGAGTAATAGTCTCAATGTGTTGGCCCTACCTTTGCCAACAGGACTGTGTGGAGCAATTCCTTTACATTAGCCAGTAATAGACAGTGAAATACCGCACTCAATATGTGCTGCACGTAACATGCACCGTAATCCAGAGATTTTTATTGAGCCAATAGCTGCAAAGCGATGCTGTATTTTACTGTAGACCTCATATTTCTCCAACCACCGTGTGTGAGTATACAGGCCTTACAAAAGATTTAATAGTGGTGCATCCTTTTCAGTTACTAAAACTGAAACATTTATGAGTTTCTCTCAAATGATTGGTGTGAAGATTTGCATTTATTAATTAAATGTTTTGTTTTGTGTTTCTCTGTTGGTGAAGCAGGAATGTGCTCAGTATTTCTTGGAGGTGAAGGACAAAGATATCAAGCATGCTCTGGCTGGCCTGTTTGTTGAGATCCTCATCCCTGTAGCTGCTGTAAGTACCGCAGAGCTCTCCATTTGTTTAAATGATATAATATCATTCATGCCTGTGCAAAAATCATTCCTATGAGCCAGATTTCACATGCGTACTGCAGAAATGTAACGCATTCTGGCTAAATTGCAACATTGCTACATCAACTCTGATTTAAATTAGTGTAGTTTCACAATATGGCAACACAGAACATTACACAACTTTCCATGAATTCAAATCAGAATATGTGCGATCTGTAAACACTCCGCTGCAGTCCCATTCCAGGTTTTTCGATTTGCGCCCAGTTGCGGATTTTTTATGAGACCGACAGTCAAGTATAAACAATACTTTGAGAAGTAAACTGTATTTAAAGCCTAAAATCGAGCTGGTTGTGTGTCTGATGAGAGTAAGAGTTGTGACTTTCAAAAAACCTGCACCTTGGTTTTAGGCAAAATCACGCAACTCTGCTCCCTTTTATTTTAAACCGATCATACACCGATTCAAACACATTGGCTCTTTGAAACTGTGTTTGTATCCAGATCATTTGACAGAGGCTCAGTGACTGTTCTGCAGAGTTCATGATGGTACATGTCTTGTCAAGTGGTTTGAGGTGGAGTTTGTGGAATGAGTTGCTACAGAAGCACAATTGAAGTGTATTTCGTTTTGCATTGACAAGATGAATAGCTTTGAGTGATTTGTGTGCTGTTAGGCACCGAGCAGGTGTAGCTCATTGTGAGAACTTATATGTTTGTGCTTGTGTGTTTTTGGAAGGCGGTGAAGAATGAAGTGAATGTGCCCTGCCTGAAGAACTTTGTGGAGATGCTCTACCAGACAACCTTTGAACTCAGCTCAAGAAAGAAGCACTCACTGGTACAGTCCTTGTTTGGCTTTGATACATACTTTCCCACAATCTTCTGTAGCCTGGATCATTCTGCCACCCAGAAGGCTGTCATTATTTTGTGGAACACAAAAAGACAAGTTTAGCTGATTCCACCGGTCGGCCTTCTCCATGCAATTACAAAGCTTCAAAGAGTACCATAAAACTATCATAAAAGTGGGCCGTAAGAGTTTTGCATTTGTATTTAAAATTTTTAGTGTCTGCTCAATCAGTAGTATTGAGTGAGTAATAGTTGTTATTCACTGTAAATTCGTCCTAGCTCACCTTGTCAAGTGCATGAGAGAAGTTGCAATGTCTGATTTGGCAATCAGCATTTTCATTTTTTTGTTTTCATTTTCATGTCTTTCTCTCTCCTCAGGCATTGTATCCCTTGGTCACATGTCTGCTGTGTGTTAGTCAAAAGCAGTTCTTCCTCAATAACTGGCACATCTTCCTTCAGAACTGCCTTTCCCACCTAAAGGTAATGTTTTCTAACAGTGGAATGAATACAGAGTGTTTACTTTAGCTTTGTGACATCCTGTGAAAAAAAGAAAATACTAGAGCTGACCGTTTCAGAGATTGCACCATAGAAAATGCAGCTTAAAAGTAGCAAAAGTAGCTATAAATCCTACGTTTTAATCATGTTGTTTGGGCACTGCAAAAACAGAGGAGTTGATACATACAGATTCTGAAGCCTGGAGGCAGGTTTGGTGATTTAATATGAAAATTAATTCTGTAAGTGGGTTGGTTCACTTACAAAGTTTCGGAGAAAGGTGTGGTGTTACAAACGTCTGTAAAATGCCTCTTGATTATACTGTTCAGTTAATTATACCGGTGTCATCCACTCTTTCTCAATCATATCTCCAAACCGTGTGTGTTTGTGCTTGTCCACGTTCTTTTTCATTGACACTGGTTCAGCTACCAGGATGTGATAATTTTTTTTTTTTTGGTTTCCTCCAATCTATGCAACTTTATCATGTGAATCTTGAGGATTGATACGTGATGCTTTGATTTGGTGATGGTGATTTTATGAATGAGTAATCAAACTCTATGTAACTCCCTGCAGTACCGATTAAATCCTTTACTCGCTATCCGTTAATCTAGATCAGGACTGGATCAGAATTGGACTGTTGTGTGAATCTTACTCCAAATCCACTTTAGGCCGCTTCTTACGCTTCTCAAAAAGTCATGTGAACGATTCAGGATCAGAAGGGAAGTTTTCTCAGTGATCTGGTGTAATGTCTCTAGCCAACTGAGCCCAGGTTTATGGGATTTGTAGTCTCAGTGGTGGATAATTCCTCTCCTGATTGATCCATGAACTCCCTTTGCAGTTCTGCTTGTCTGTCTGCTCCCCTGTCTGGTCTAACCCTGCTGTAGTTTGTCTTCCCAGATCAACAGACCTTAATCAGAGTGGACGTTATTTTTTTTATTTGAAGCCTTATTTTCATTTGCGTTAAGTTTTTTTTATAGCGTCTACTCTGACTAAAGTCAGCACACAATCACTCTTGCTTGTAATCATCCATTTGCATGCACTAATCCTGCCTCCCATTTTTGTTTATGGTTTTAAATTTTTTTAAATTTCATTTTAATCCATTCCTGCCATTTGTCTTCTCACCCATCAGAAACTCTTAATCTTCATCAGCACATCAACTGTATTTAAGTTCAATTTAAAATAATCTTCCTAGAAGCTTTTGTCTAATGGGCCATTTTCATTTCTTAAGGAAGTATAGATCAATTTTGGAATGCTCGTGTTTAGGGATGGGTACCGAAACCCGGTATTTAATCGGTCCCGGGGCTAAATTATGAAAGACTGGAGTATAGGGATGGGCGATACCCCTTATTTTGTTTTCGATACGATACCGATATTTTTCAAGGCAGTATCGTCGATATCGATACCGATTCGATACTTCTGCACTAAACTTTTAAATTATGAAATGTATTAAATTATTAAATTACTAAGAGTAAAATGGGTAATGAAAACCACTTAACTTTGTTTAAAACGCATTTTAACCCGTTTAATCCCAAATTTTTCCCAGACATGAAAATATGTAATAATACAAATGATGTGTCATTAGTAACCCTTTGAAATAATCAATAATTTATTTTTTGATAATACAATTATTTTATTTAAAAATAAGATTTTTTTTTTTTTGAAAAGTGTGTGAAAAATTTTATTTTATGGTCAGTCACAATTGTAACCGGTGGGATAATGTGTATACTGAATTAACATATTTCTGCAGTCATACATTTTTTTATATATCTTAGCCCAGCTATTTTAAACTGTTTGATCACATTCTAGGGTTACTATTATGCATAAAAAACCCTTATACAACATTGATAGGAATACTGAGATCAAATACAAAAAAATACAACCATCAACGTATTTCAAAATTGTAACTTTTTTGTAACATATATCATCACATTTTTATATTAGTGCTACCAGTATTACAACATTAATGTTCTAACTTATTTGTAACATTTGAACTTTTGATTTAGTCCAATATTTTGTACTGCCATTAGGGACTGCCAGTGAATGGCTGTTGCATGCATAAAATGCAACCTTTACATGATCAATATTATCTTTCAACGTTCAATTTAAATAATTGTAATTGCACAAACTATGTAGGCTACAATTGCAATTTGTTTACTGTGAAATAACTCAAACATTTATGTTTGTTTTTCTGTCCTCTGATAAGCATTGTTCAGGGCTGCCATTCCCAAAAGCTTTAATGCTTTCTTATGATACTTTTGGGAAACGCAGCCCTGTTTGAATGCACTGTCAGCAGTGAGTGAATGCTCTCTGTGATTGATTGATTCTGTCTTGCAACATTTGCGTGTGTTCAGATGAGCAGGAAAATAGTTCTATCCTACACAATTACTCGCTAACAAAGGTTATTCGTCATAAAAAAATATATATATAAATATATATATAAAACAAAAAGTACCGATAAGAATACCGTTAAAGTACCGAATCGATAAGCAGTATCGGTAAGAGTAGTAATACCGTTAAAACCTTAACGATACCCATCCCTACTCGTGTTGATTCTGTAGGAATCTGACAATGAAGTATTAAATCCCATGCACCCTGCACTTTGTTTTGCATGTTGTTGTTGTAGCACAAAGCTTAGTTTTGTTCTTACGTTTGTCTCTTGTTCTTTTTCTAACATGCATGTCTTCCCCATCACCATCACCCCCTGTCCTTTGTCATCTGTTTTGTTACCCCTGCGTTTATTGGCTCCAGATGCCGTCAAACAACAGCATCCGTAAGCAGATTGAGACCCTGCAGGTGAGTTACCATGGTTACCCACAAGGGAGCTAACCCTGCCCCTCAGAAGTCATGTGATTGACCTGTATTCCACATGGGCTTCCTGAGACTTCTGGCTCTTTCGCCTGTCCATAGAGGAAACGATGCTAAATAGCTTCATTACTGTCCTGCTGTCCTCAAGAATTCACACAGGAAAACCACCCAGTTCAAGGAGTCACTGATGAAGGCGTCAGAAATGTTTTATCTGAGGCATCATCAGTTCAGCCCAAAACTCTCGTCACCCTTTAGCCAAAGCAAATATAAAAGTATTTTGCATTACTATACATTTCCCCCCAAAAATTGTAGGTGATAATATAGAATGAATTATAATTATTTAATCAAATTTTGTTCTTATGATACTTTTGGGAAACGCAGCCCTGTTTGAATGCACTGTCAGCAGTGAGCGAATGCTCTCTGTGATTGATTGGTTCTGTCTTGCAACATTTGCGTGTGTTCAGATGAGCAGGAAAATAGTTCTATCCTACACAATTACTCTCTAACAAAGGTTATTTGTCAAATTCAATGTATATTGTATGCATTATTATTATTATTATTATTTTTGTTAAACAAACAAAACCACTGGTAAATAAAATGCACCTTAGTATCAATATTTTTGGTTTGAGTATCGATACTTTCGATAAGAGGACCAGGTTCAACTCTTAGCCTAGATTTTAAATGTTGCAAGCAAATTTGCAGCAAAGTTTGACAGCAATCACAATGCACTTCTGGAAAATTATGGAAAAGATAAATATTGCAAAAGATGCTGCAGATCACAGTCTTTTTCTGTAGAAGTTTAAACAGTTTGCAAGTTTGTTGCATTTACAGTTGCTTGTTTTGAATGATCAACTATTTGAAATGTACCTGCAGACTCATTAGAACAGAGAGGAAAAATGTATTGGTGATAATTCTATAAAGAAATGGCATCCCTGTTGATAAAAGACACTAGGGAGTCCTCACTGTACTAGTGCTCTAATACTTATGTAGTCGATGTTCACTGCAAACCGTGCAATCATATCGCCCCCTATGGTGAGTGTTGGTCATTACACCCTGTTTGATGCTCTTTACTGCAGTCTGATTAGTGGCTGTGTGTGTGAGAGAGACCGAGTAGCCAAAAGTGTGAGAGAGACAACTGCTTAGTCAGTGACTCGATTTGGACGAGCCGTGATGTGTTAATCACAGCCGATTTATGAGTCATCTCTTTGTGCATCAATGCAGTTAAAGCAGAAATTATGGCTCTTATTGGCTTGTAAATGGTGTCCAGTGCGTCATATTCCTCATTAGCTCGTCATGAGCAGCAAGTGAACTATTGATCACCCGTCATGATACAGATGAAGCAGCAGCTCTTTATGAATGAATCTAGCATATTTTCTAGGCTGAGTTAATTCATGAATTGTTGTCTTTGGAGGTCATTTTGACTCCCTGGGGTGTTTGTAAGACCCTGCTTTGTGTGAAGCCACTTTAAAGCATTGTCTTTGTAAAAATCCACAATAAGGAGTTTTTAAAAACTTTTTTAACTTCTTGCTCTTTTACTTTTTGGAAATAAATGCCTTATTTCTATGGCTTAATTTATGAGTTCTTGTTATCTGAGTATTTTGTATCTTTCTTTTTAGAACAAAGATCCCAAAATGTCTCGTGTAGCTCTGGAGTCTCTCTACCGGCTGCTCTGGGTTTACATCATCAGGATCAAGTGTGAGAGCAACACAACCACACAGAGGTAGGACACGCAATCATACAGATTTACAAAAATATCTTGAATTTATGCCAATTGCGCACACACTGAGAATACATTCACTCAATACTAACACTAACCACAAACATACCATTGTTTGAGAAGATAAACCTCTCACAGATATAAACAAATATATACAATATTGTCTTGTAGACAGTTCTTATTTATATGTATATAACGTTTCACATTATCTCTTTTCCTTCACAGTCGTCTCCTCAGTATTGTAACAGCACTTTTCCCAAAGGGCTCTCGCAGCGTGGTCCCCAGGGACACACCCCTCAACATCTTTGTTAAGATTATTCAGTTTATCGCTCAGGTAAAAAAAAAATTAAATAAATAAAAAACACTCAAAACATATTTTAGAACATCTCAGGTTCATATCCAGCCTTCGTTTTGGCCCAATCCTAAAGCTAGCTATCTATCCACTTTACCATCAACAATCTATTATTTTATCATAAAGCTAAAATGATCACAATGAACATTTGGGAGGTTGGTTTTTGTTTATTGCGTTGGTTTTCATTGGTTTGTGGCACGTTGTTTTTCCCTCTCTAAAGGAACGGCTGGACTTTGCCATGAAAGAGATAATCTATGACCTGCTGTGTGTGGGCAAGTCCCACAAGACTTTCACCATTAATCCAGAGGTATGTGAAGACATTCACATAATGTGCCAGCCATTAAAAATTTTGAAAAAAACTTTTAAAAATTGTGGTAATGGATGGATAAACATTGAAACTAATTATCTCTCTCTTATCTGTCTCTCTCTCAGAGGATGAATATTGGTCTTCGGGCCTTCCTTGTGATAGCCGACAGCTTACAACAGAAGGACGGCGAGCCGCCCATGCCCACTACAGGCGTTATCTTACCTTCAGGCAACACACTGCGGGTCAAAAAGATCTTCCTCAACACCACTCTCACAGACGAGGAAGCCAAGGTCATCGGTACGGACCCTTACAGTTCCTACACAACTCTCCAAAATGAAGATATTTCTGAGTACAGCCTGTCCCTACCCTAAAGCATTTGGTCATATTCGAATAGTTGATTTTAATGTAATTTTGATTCCTGGAGCATGAGCTGTCCTCATTGAGCTTTCAGCATAAATACAGTTGTGACTTCCTGCCAAGTTCTTTTCTGTGTGTTTTTGAGTAAGAAAGTTTGAAATATTTTGGGATTGTAATTGTGGTCCATTCCTTTTTTTTTTTTTTTTATCAATGTTGGCATTAGTCACAATTTCCTCATATACATAAATTTGACTTTACATTTTTAATAGTTTGTTTAGCTTTTCCAGTAAAACACATTGCATGCCCATTAGTGGAGATAGTGGTGTATTTATCTGGCCTCATTGTTTACAGGTTGAGGAAATGCCTCTGTATGTAGTCTGTTGTAACATTTTTCCGTTCATGTACCAGATTTTGCGTGTGAACTAAGCGGTTTTCTTTCTGTGTATGTGTTTGTCTCTGTAGGTATGTCTCTGTATTACCCTCAGGTTAGGAAGGCCCTGGACAACATCCTCAGGCACCTGGATAAAGAGGTGGGACGATCCATGAGCATGACCAATGTTCAGATGTCCAACAAAGAGCCAGAGGACATGATCACGTTAGTTTCTTGAGATTTTATTTGCATAAATATGATATAAGAATTTTTAAAATGGTATGCAAACGAATGGTGTTGTTTATTTGGCTCTCATCGTGGTTATTATATGTTTGTGTTCTGCTGTAGTGGGGAGCGTAAACCGAAGATTGATCTGTTCCGGACATGTGTAGCTGCCATTCCTAGACTAATCCCAGACGGCATGAGCAGACAGGATCTCATCGAGCTACTGGCCAAGTAATGACCTGTGACTCTCATGTCAACCCTCATTCATCACCACGAGAAAACTCCAACCATTCCCCAATTCACTAGTTCTGTTGTTCCTTGAGAACAATTACATTTATGCCTACTGACCATTCACAGAATTTCATGATTTGATTCTGATCCACAAGCTATCAATTTAATTCAATATTGTTTGTTTTGGAAATATTTCAGTTTAAATGTAAACAGGCTGGTTATTACATTTCAGATATTACATAATTTACTGATTGCTACAGTGCATGGTGTGCATTGTGAGTTCAACATGCTCTGGGTTCACTTTTTCGTATTTGCATATTTCCCAAAATGTTTGGTCTTTATAGTTTATGTAAAGATAATTGCCTATAACACAGCAATTTGGAACAAGGATTTTCAACAAAGAAAAACTTTAAAGTTCTTCTCATACAAAGTGTTTATTTATTTTAGGGGTATGAGTCAAACAGAAAAATCACACTTATACATAAAGTACCCATAGACTAATATGAAATGCTAATTTCCATATATTTATGACTTCCTGTACAGCAACCACAATCTGAGTCAGACTTCCTGTGAAGTCGTAATGGCATGTAGTCAGAACTCATATGTCACCATTTACCCGCTTGACCTCTCTGCGGTTCTGGTGACGCATGATGCTGTTATGAAAATGATGATGTGTTGCATTTATTTTTTGCATTCTGTAAACAATGACTTTCATTCTCCCACCCATCCAGACTGACCATCCATATGGATGAGGAGCTGCGTGGTCTGGCGTTCACCACTCTGCAGGCTCTGATGGTGGACTTCCCAGACTGGAGAGAGGACGTGTTGTCTGGTTTTGTGTATTTCATTGTGAGGGAGGTGACTGACGTTCACCCCACACTACTGGACAATGCTGTCAAGATGCTGCTGCAGCTCATCATACAGTGGAGACAGGCAGTACAGAGCAGCAACCGCAGCCATGATTCACAGGTGCAAACATACAACAGTTATATAATATATCAAATAATATATAATTTTTGTAAAAAAAAAAAAAAAAAAAACTTCAGCAAGGATGCATTAAATTGATCAAGAGTGCCAGTAAAACGTTTATATTGTTTAAAAAAAAAAAGTATGTGTTAAGCAGCAGACCTGTTTTCAGCATTGTTAATAATAAGAAACATTTCTTGAGCACCAATTCAGCATATTGGAATGATTTCTGAAGTATCATGTGACACAGAAGACTGGAGTAATGGATGCTGAAAATTCCATCATTGGAATAAATTACATTTTAACATATATTTAAATAGAATAGTTATTAAATAGTTTTTTTGTATTGTAATAATATTGCTCAATATTACTCTTTGTACTGTATATTAAAAAAGTTTTACCAACCCCAAACTTTTTAACGATTTTTATCGTTTTATTTTTATTGTAGTTTATCATACATTTTTAGCTTGTAGTTTAACATGGTATTTTTTCATGTATTTTTTTAGAGCCCATCTCTCCCTCTGGAGCGATCTCCTCTCTGGACCGTTCTGCATGTGGTGGAGGGTCTAGCTTTGGTCGTGCTGTGCAGCTGTCGACCAGCAACACGCAGACTTGCTGTCAATGTCCTCAAAGAAGTCCGATCACTGCACACGGCCCTTGGCATTGCTAAGGTAACCATCTGTTCTAAATGACTTCCTGTTGTTCACCTATATGAGACAACATTTTTCTTTTTGTTTGCACTTCATATTAATTTCTTTGTCCTGTTTCTCTCTCAGGGAGATGAGGAGTTGGCTATAGACGTGATGGACAGATTGAGTGCTTCAGTCCTCGAGAGCTTTATTCACCTTACTGGGGCCGATCAGGTGAGGGAATGCGCAGAACATTGTGTTTTTGGATGTTGGTGTCCGCTCCAGACAGGAATGCTTAGAAATCTAAAAAAGTAAAAATGAAACTATATCAGGGTTGTCTCTTTTTTTGCCCCTTTTCGCTGTAGACAAATCTGCTGTACTGTCCCAGTGGAATAGACCTTCAGACTCTGGCAGAGTGGAGCTCGTCTCCTATCAGCCACCAGTTTGATGTGGTAAGCCCCTCCTACATATGGGTGTTTGCCCATGTGACACAAGGTCAGGACCCCTGGGTCATCAGCCTGTCTAGTTACCTGCGGCAAGAACACCTGCCCAAGCACTGCCCCACTGCGCTGAGCTACGCTTGGGTCTTCGCCTCCACACGCCTTCAGCTGCTCTCGCCACAAGTCGACATCAAGTACGTTTTTACATTCAAATGTGTCTCTAGTAGGGCTCGGTGACATGGGTAAAAATAATTATACAGTACCTTAATGTTTTCAGTCTATATTTGATAGCCATTGTTGTCAGATAGATTAAAAATGTTTAAAGATGTAAAATTTCAGTAAACATCCAGGTAATAATAAATATAAAATATAATAAATGTGACCCAGGACCACAAAACCAGTCATAAGGGTAAATTTTTTGAAATTGAGATTTATACATCACCTGAACGCTGAATAAATAAGCTTTCCATTGATGTATGGTTTGTTATGATAGGACAATATTTGGCTGAGATACAAATATATGAAAATCCGGAATCTGAGGGTGCAAAAAAAATCACAATTTTGAGAAAATCGCATTTAAAGTTGTCCAAATGAAGTTCTTAGCAATGCATATTACTAATCAAAAATTAAGTTTTGATATATTTATGGTAGGAAATTTACGAAATATCTTCATGGGACATGATCTTTACTTAATATCCTAATGATTTTTGGCATAAAAGAAAAATCAATAATTTTGACCCATACAATGTATTTTTGGCTATGGCTACAAATATACCCGTGCAACTTATGATTGGTTTTGTGGGTCACATATAATAATTTAAATTGTATTCAAATTTTCCACACTGTTTTCACTATATTAATGTGAGAATTAATAATATTTCATAATTTTACTTATTATTACATAGTTATAAACAGCCATATAAAAAAATCTTTATTCTTTTTATTAGGCAAACTGTTTGTTTATGATGTATTTTTGTAAGACAGATTATGTGACTTTCCTGTGTGACCTTTGACCTTGCAGCAGCCCGATCAATGCTAAGAAGGTGAACAGCATGAGCAATAGTAGTGACTCATATGTGGGCCTTTGGAGGAACTACCTAATCCTCTGCTGCAGTTCTGCCACCTCTTCCACATCTTCATCCTCCTCTTCCTCATCAGCCCCTGGCTCTGTACGCTGCTCCCCACCTGAAACGCTGGCATCCACCCCAGACAGCGGATATAGTTACGACTCAAAGGTCAGAGGTCATAGCACCCTACCAGCTGTAATGTCAGATACAATAATTATCATTGTTGAATTGTAATATATATTTGCACATTGCCTGATTTGGGACACCATATTTGAAACAAGATTGTGTACATGTGTGTGTCTTTGCAGATCATTAGCATTCCGTCCCCTTCCTCCTTGTTCAAGCATGTGGTTCCCATGATGCGCTCTGAGAGCATGGACATCACTGAGTCTCTCGTCCTGGGGCTTGGCAGGACCAACCCTGTTGCCTTCAGGTACGTCTTAAGATCACCTGACAAAGTGCATACATAATTATATTGTGTGTAATTGCATTTTAACCCAGTGGTGTGTCTTACAGAGAGCTGTTGGAGGAGTTAAACACCATCATTAAAGAAGCGCTTGAGAGAAGGCCAGAGGTGAGTTCACCACAGTTTTACACTTGACCCTGTGAAGGAATCCATGCCTGTGAGGATAAATGTTTCAACTAGACAATTTAAATGCAAGCTTTTTGTCCATCTATTCATATAACTAATACAGTTGCAAATCTAAACAATTTATTGATCCTTGTGTTTTTTTTTTTGTTTCTGCAGAACATGAAGCGACGCCGGCGTCGTGACATTCTCAGAGTCCAGCTGGTCCGGATTTTTGAGCTACTGGCCGATTCAGGAGTCATCAGTCAGACGTAAGTCTCACACACTCACAACATATACACTACTATTGGGGGCAGTAAAAATGTATCAAGGTTTGCACAAAAATATGAAGTAACACAACTGTTTTCAACATTGATAATAAGAAATGTTTCTTGAGCACCAAATCAGCATATTAGACTGATTTCTGAATGATCATGTGACACAGAAGACTGGAATAATGATGCTGAAAATTCAGCTTTAAATGCTGATATATAAGCTTTGCCATCAAAGTAATAAATTGCAGTTTAAAAATATAATTAAACAGTAAACATTTATTTTAAATTGTAAAAATATTTCTGATCGAATAAATGTAGCATTGTAAGAGAAGTACTTTCTCACTGGTTTGACTTATTTAAATGTTAACATTGTCCAACATGCATCAAAGGGCAATTGCCTTTTTTTGTGAAAGTCATAAACATTTCCATTGCATTTCAAGTGATCTGTTGTGCTTAACAGCATTCTATGATGGAAATGATATTTGGAACAAAATTTCTAACTCCTTTGTTTTGCTAAGGCTAATTTCGTAGCTAGCACTTTTTGTATCCTAAACAGTAAGGTGTTTGTGTATTCTCTGTGCAGTGCAAGTGGTGGTCTGGACGGGGATTCTCACTCTCTGAACAGCACTCTGCTGGAATACGTGGATCTCACCCGACAGCTTCTGGAGGCTGAGAACGACAAAGATTCAGACACACTGAGAGACATCCGCTCTCACTTCAGTGCCCTAGTGGCCAACATCATACAGAATGTACCAGGTACACAGCCACAGACACTCTTAGTGATAATAGCTCTTAAAGCAAGTTCACTGATATAACTTCAACTGATCTCATGATTGTGTTTCTGCAGTGCATCAGAGGAGGAGTATATTCCCTCAGCAGTCACTGAGGCATAGTTTGTTCATGCTCTTCAGTCATTGGGCTGGACCCTTCAGCATCATGTTCACACCTCTGGACCGATACAGCGACCGCAACATGCAGATCAACAGACACCAGTACTGTGCACTGAAGGTACCGTCTCACAAAACACACATTTGCATTTGCAGCCGTCACAGATTTCACTATCACTACCATAGAGTGAATGTGGTATATGATGTGTGTCTGCACAGGCCATGTCTGCGGTGCTGTGTTGTGGTCCGGTGGCTGATAACGTTGGCCTGTCCTCTGATGGGTATCTGTATAAGTGGTTGGACAACATTCTAGACTCTCAAGACCGCAAGGTAAATGCACTTAACTCACGTTCTGACATTAGCATCACTAACAAATCAGCTTTCATGAACTGTCGCATGCATGTATGTTTGTGCTCAGGTGCATCAGTTGGGTTGTGAGGCCGTGATGTTGTTATTAGAGCTCAACCCAGACCAGAGCAATCTGATGTTCTGGGCGGTGGATCGCTGCTACACTGGCTCACGCAGAGTCGCTTCAGGCTGCTTCAGAGCCATCGCCAATGTCTTTCATAACAGGTACGTATTACTATGTTCTTGTGGTAAATGTGATTGAATTTGTGTCAGTAATTCAGGTTAAATGAATACTGTGTGTTTGTTGTCTCTTGCAGGGATTACCAGTTTGACACTGTGGTTTTGCTGAATCTCATCCTGTTTAAAGCTGCTGACTCTTCCAGAGACATCTATGAGGTCGCCATGCAGCTACTGCAGGTCAGTAGAGATTTTTAAGCTTTTTTTTCTGTCGAAGGACACCAAGAGTGTGCAATTGGGTAAATAAAATCATATGTTTGTATATTAGATCCTGGAGCCCAAACTGTTCCGTTACGCCCATAAACTGGAGATCCAGCGTACCGATGGGGTCTTGTCTCCAGCCTCCCCTCTCCCTCACCTGTACTCAGTGTCCTACTACCAGCTCAGTGAAGAACTGGCACGGACCTACCCTGAACTCACCCTTCCCATCTTCTCAGGTACATACACAAACCTGTACCTCCGTGAAGTTGGCACCCCATAAAAAGAAATAATCACCAGAACTATGCCATTCGTTTGTGCTGATTTGTGCCCGGAAAAAAAAACGAACGTTTGTGCTGGTTTGGTGTTTGAGATATTAAACATTATTTTTTTGACCGTGTGACGTCACTCTCCACCCCATGTTGCCCAAATCGCTCCAAATCAGCGCAGTTTGTTTGTTTGCTGGTTTGTGCCGTTAAAACAAACACTCTATGTATTTTCCTTCCTTAGATATAACCAAAATGTTTTTGGGAGCTGTGACGTCACTCTCCACCCCAGTTCGTCTAAATTGCACAAAACTCGTGTAATTCGTTTGTGCTCGATTTGTGCTGATTTGTGCCATTGAAATGAAAATCAAATTTATTTCCCCTTCTTAGAAATAACAAACAGAACTCGAGGCAGTGACGTCACTCTCCAACCCAATGCCGTCCAAATCTCTCCAAACCGGTGCCGTTTGTGCTCGATTTGTGCTGGTTTGTGCCGTTAAAAGAAACCCTGTAACTATGACCGCTTCTTTTATATAACGAAAATAAAGTTTTTACGAACAGTGACGTCACTCTCCACCCCATTCCGTCCAAATCCCTCCAAACCGGTGCCGTTCGTAACCATGTAACCATGACATGTAACCATGACTTCTTCTTAAATATAACGAAAACCCATTTAGCGCGGCCACAGAGTTTCTTTCTTTTTTTTATTTATTGATTTATTTATTCATTCATTTATTTTACAGTGAGTCTAAATCCTTTCGTTTGTGCCGTTAGAAAATTGAACACTGCATTTATCCACCTAAAAATAACAAATACAGGCCTATGCTTCAGGGCGCTCTTCACAACAAATGCTGCGTTCATTTGTGCTCGATTTGTGCCTTGAAAAGAAATCCTGGTTGTAACTAAAATTCTGGCTGTAAATACAATTCTTCATAAATATGTGAAGGGAAAAAAAACAAGCCGTTAATATGCCATTATAGGCTATATGTAGGCTAAATGTAATTACATGGTATGACTGCATTTAACATCTAGTATGCATAGCCGAAGGTATATGAATATATTATAATAATATTAATAAAAGTTTCATTTCTTTGTTTACTATAAGTGAGTATATTAAGTAAGGAGTAAGGAGATATTTGAATTATTTGTTATAAAGTGTTTCTAAGTCAGTGTCGCAAGTCGATCCTGACTCGCCATCTCCTCTGGACGCGCCTTTAGAGAGAAATGCATCTTTACGGATTACATAATGAAAGAGTTTGTTTTTAATTATTTGAAGAGTTTTATTGAAGACTTTGAATTATTTCGTTTTAAAGTAGTAATTCAAAGGTTTCTATAGATATATTTATCATTTCTGTGAGGCAAGTATTCGCTGAGTTTTCGGTTCATCATTGTGAAGCGCTCCTGCTCAAGACCGAGGCGGCAGAAAGCACATCCTGTTTGCTTTCTTTATTTTAAAGCACAACGTTTTATTGTGTGAGCGCACAAATAAAAGTAGACCCTTTACAGTGCAGAATGATGTATTACTCTTATCTTTATGAGCAAAAATTTTATTAAATTAACTTAATAAATAAACGAAAATAAATTTAACAACTTTGCCATTAAAAACAAAACTGAACTATTTTAATGGCTGCAACAGCAGCTGTGTATAATAAGGGAAGTGAGAAAAGACACGGGCTCCAGTCGGATTCGGGCCGAAGAATTCTGATAAGTTGTCGGACAAGGGCCTAGATTGGAGGCCTGTGCAGGGCTCTACATTATTTAGCCTATTTGTGTTACAACGCAGGTAAAACATATTATCCTTATTCATTTTGTTAGGCTAACGAAAGTTCAAAGTTTAAAATAAGTTAATATGTCATTGTGCTATTTTAGTCTATTTTTTATTCATAATAAATATATAAATTAATTAATCAAAATTAATAAAAATACAAATTTAATATTAATAATAATGAGCCACAAACTAAGCATTCTTTTGAAGTATGGGGAAAATCCAAAACCTTTTATTTATTTGTGCTATAGGGCTACGTCAGTCTTTGTTCCGTTCATAAAAAAATTTGGTTTAATTAGCTACTTTGTAGGCTACTATTGCTGATGTTGAGTGTGGAATTTTTTTTTCATTAAGAGTAATATTGAATCAACTTTAAGCATTAATTTTGTTCCAAGAATAGGAAAGATTGGTTTGCTGCTGAGGTGAAGACGCGCTCGCTCTTTCTCTGCTGTCTCTTTTCAATGGTTGTAGAAATGGTCATTAATTCTTAATATGAGTGCAGCACAGACATGTTACAGGTAAATAATATGATCAAAAAGCCATGGCAACAAATTATTTTTTAAGTCAGTTTAATAAGTTGAAACTAAATTCTTGCTTATATTGTTATTGTAGGATTAGGCTACTTTTTCAAGGAATTTTAATGAATATACAAATTAATAAAAATTAATTTTATTTATTTTTGTTACAAAATTTTCATTTATTTATTTTTAACAATCAAACTTTTGCAATCAAAAACTCACATGAGCGTGTGTTATGCCATTTTTAACACATTAAGTTGATTTGCAAGTCAATGTCGACTTACATTTCATTTTATTTCATTAAAAGATATTTAAACAAACACACCTTGGCTGTCTTTATACTTAACACATTCCTCAAAGATAAAATGCTGCTGAGCAATGGTAATGTTCATGCTCCGAATATTTCATCATCTGCAATATGCATAATGCAATAAACATAAAAAAAAAAAAGTACACACAAAGAAAAATTTGGAATTGGTGCTTGATGAAATCACTGGCAATAAAACTTAGAAAAACACACCAGCAGATTTGCAAACAATAGAAGACAGGAATTTGGACGAGCGGCTTGCGCGACATCACTTTTCCTCCAGATATTTGTAATGTTTTACGGAGGAGAAATAAACGGAATGTTAATTTTAACAGCGCAAAACGAGCACAAACGAACGGAACCGTTTTAGGGCAATTTGGCAAGCAGTGCGCCCTGAATTAGCATATATTTGTTTTTTTTTAGGGGGGATAAATACAGTGTTCAATATTCTAATGGCAAAAATCGAGCACAAATGGATTAAAATGATTTAGACTCGATGTAAAAAAAAAAAAAACTTACAACTTAATGCTGCCTTGAAATTTAACCTTAGTCAAATTGAAATATGAAGTTAGTGAAAACTTGGATATTTGAGTTGACTAAATTTTAAGTTTTAAGGCAGCTCGAACAATAATTAAAAAATAATAAATAACAATGGGGTGTAGAGTGAAGTTTTCGTTATATTTAAGAAGAGGTCATGGTTACATTGTTTATTTTAACGCACAAACCAGCACAAATCAAGCACAAACGAACGGCACCGGTTTGGAGGGATTTGGACGGCATGTGGTGGAGAGTGACGTCACTGTTCGTAAAAAAGTTTTGTTTTCGTTATATAAAAGAAGCGGTCATAGTTACAGTAGGGTGACCATATTTTAGTTTTCCAAAAAGAGGACAGTAGGGGGCGGGGTTCGTGGGCGGGGCTTCGCCTAACAGTATACATAGCAAGATTATTTTTTTTGTTGTTGCTTTTTTTGTTTTTATAATAAATAAAAAGAAAACAAGTAGAAATAATAGAAAAAGAATAGGGAATGCTAGTGTTAGAGGGTCATTTTTAAATAAAAAGAAAACAGCCGAATCCTGGACATTTTAGGCAATTAAGAAATCCCGTCCGGACGCATTTTTGTAGGTCCAAAAAGAGGACATGTCCGGGGAAAAGAGGACGTATGGTCACCCTAAGTTACAGGGTTTCTTTTAACGGCACAAATCGAGCACAAGCGAATGACACCGGTTTTGTGCGATTTAGACGAACTGGGGTGGAGAGTGACGTCACAGCTCCCGAAAACATTTTTGTTATATCTAAGGAAGGAAAATACATAGAGTGTTTGTTTTAACGGCACAAACCAGCACAAACAAACTGCGCTGATTTGGAGCGATTTGGGCAACATGGGGTAGAGAGTGACACGGTCAAAAAAATTATGTTTAAAGGGGTCATATGATGCTGCTAAAAAGAACATTATTTTGTGTATTTGGTGTAATTAAATGTGTTTATGCGGTTTAAAGTAAAAAAAACCACATTATTTTCCACATACTGTACATTATTGTTTCTCCTCTATGCCCCGCCTTCTGAAACGCGTCGATTTTTACAAAGCTCATCGGTCTGAAAAAGCGAGGTGTGCTTCGCATCATATGACCCCTTTAATATCTCAAACACCAAACCAGCACAAACGTTCGTTTTTGCGGTACAAATCAGCACAAACGTAGCACAAACGAATGGCATAGTTTTGGTGATTATTTCTTTCTGTGGGGTGCCAACTTCACGGAGGTCAAACATCTATAAATGTAACGCTCAGTAAATCTAACATTGGTAATAACTTTATGCGAGCCAAAAAGTTTCCCCCCCACATAAACACTGTTTGTGTAATGAGATTCTGTGTTGTTTTCATCAGAGGTGAGTCAGAGAATCCAGACAGCGCACCCTGGTGGCCGGCAGGTGATGCTGCATTACCTCCTACCCTGGATGAACAACATAGAGCTGGTGGACTTCAAGCCTTCAGCACGAAGTCAAGAGGAACCTTCGTCAACAGAGGAAGAGGAGGACGCCCATGAGAGAGAGATGATGATGGTGAACAGCCGTCGCTGGCTGAGAGGAGAGGGCTGGGGTTCACCACATGCCACTACCATGATCCTCAACAACCTCATGTTCATGACTGCAAAGGTAAACGCACACATACTACATGTCGACTGTGTGCTGACTGTGGTACAGGTGTAAATATCTATAGTGAATATACATTTCTATTGCAAACATCATTTTCCCCTTTTCCATATAATTTTATTTTTATTTTATTTTATAGAAATATATTATTTTAACACATTTACTAATATTTATACCCGTTTTAAGGTGATTATTGCATGAATGTTCATATGGTCTGATTTTACAGTATGGTGATGAATTTGCATGGTCAGAGATTGAGAACGTCTGGACCACTTTAGCTGACAGCTGGCCTAAAAATCTAAAGATCATCCTGCACTTCCTCATCAGCATGTCTGGAGTCAACAGTGAACCAAGTCTCCTGCCTTATGTGAGTGACACCTGTCCTGACCTGATACTCGATCCTTAAGCAAGAATGGCTGCACTTGTGACTTTGGCCATGTTTCTTAATAACTTAGTTTCTTCCATGCTGTTGTGTTTCTGATTGCATTTCCTAATATTTTGCAGGTGAAGCGTGTAGTGGTGTATCTGGGCAGGGATAAGACAATGCAGCTGCTGGAGGAGTTAATGTATGAGCTGGAGCTAACTGACCCTGTATCCTCAGCTGTCACTCATATGGATAACCCACCATACTACCGCATTACTTCTTCTTACAAGATCCCTTCTGTTACATCAGGTACAGTATATATGTATACTCTGACCACTCAACATTACCTTTATACAAATTAGTTTAAGAATCATAAGACGAGTAGGAATCATTTAGGAAACCCAAAGATTACAGAAAAGTTTCTTATAAACAGGTGATCTAAGGAAGCAATCACATTTTCACTGTCACTTTGTTGAAATGTTTGGCTCTTTCCAGGAACAACGTCCAGTAGTAACACCATGGTACCTGGACCTGATGGACACCATGAGAGCAAAATCAAAGATTCCAATATGGAGGACAGGTAAACTGATTCTAGATTTAGGAAATGTGTTCCATTTATAAACAAACAAACAAGAAACATAAGTCATTGCTTTTTACTAATCCTACTAAAAATAAACCAAGAACCATTTATCAGCTATTGCTTACTGGTTGTTCTTTATTTGTTGCTTCCTCAAAAGTACTAGATGAAGTTGTTAAGTGGAACATGAATGTAACTTCTGTATCTCTGTGTAGTTACACTCATTTGGACATCTACACTGGTCTGAACAGTAATCTGAACAGACAGCACCATCGGCTGGAGTCCCGTTACAGCAGCAGCTCAGGAGGATCCTATGAGGAGGAGAAGAGTGAGTACATTATCATCACTGTCCTCAAACTTCTGATGTTGCTCCTGCTCTGACCAAAAAAATACTCAGTCTGAAGGCAGACATATATATAGGTATAAAGGTAGAATCCGTGTAAAATTGAATGGGCAGCATTTGCCATCAAAATTTACAATTTTAATAATATTTCACAGTATTACTGTTCTTCCTGTATTTTGATCAAATAAATGCAGCCTTGGTGAGCATAAGAGACTTCTATCAAAACATTAAAAAATATTACAGGTCTCAAAATTTTGAATGGTATTGTATGAACATGTTGTTTCTCTCTGTAGGTGACTCTATGCCTGTCTATGCTAACTGGCGTCTAAAGGTGATGGACCATAACCGGCCAGAGCCCCTCCCATTTCCTCCTACTGGCGGCTGCTGGTCACCACTAATCGATTACCTGCCTGAGACCACCACACCTGGAGTCTCCCTGCACAGGTGACTCGACATACTCAGTGTGCCCTAAATCAGACTCAGTGTTGTTCTCCTTGACCTTTGACCGCTGACAACACATTGCCATTTTTTTACAGGTGTAACATTGCTGTGATCTTGCTGACCGACCTCATTGTAGACCACGGGGTCAAAGTGGAATGGAGCTCATACCTTCACCTGCTACTGCATGCCATCTTTATAGGTAACACATACACAACTGTACAGTTTATTAATAACCATCATCACTGGAATGTTCCACATTGTATGTCCTGAAATGCATATTTGTGCTTGTAGGCTTTGACCATCAGCACCCAGAGGTCTATGAGCACTGCAAGCGTTTACTGCTCCACCTGCTGGTCGTCCAGGGCACCAACAGCAGTGTCCAGTCACTAGCATCTGTACTTCTTCGCAACCGTGAACTGAATGAGCCCAGAGTTCTGACAGTCAAACCCACTCTTCAGGAGTTCAACCTCACAGGTATTTAAAAGCAAAGGTGTTTTGCAGTATCTGTCTGCCTCAGTGCTCTTATCCAACTGCTTGATAATAGTAATTAAAGGGATAGTTCACCCAAAAATGAAAATTCTGTCATTACTTACTCACCCACATGTCGTTCCAACCCCGTGAGACCTTTGTTCATCTTCGGAACACAAATTAAGATATTTTTGATGAATTCTGAGAGCTCTCTGACCCTCCATAGACAGCAAGGATCCTAACACGATCAACGTCCAGAAACGTAGTAAGTACATCGTTAAAATAATCCATGTGACATCAGCATTCAACCGCAATTTTTACGAAGCTACGAGAATACTTTTTGTGTGCAAAGAAAACAAAAATAACGACTTTATTCAACAATTCGTCTCCTCCGTGTCACCCTGGCACCATTTTGGAGAGTATCACATACGTAAACAACGTATGTATGTGGATACGTTGTTTACGTTCAGATCAAAGTGTAAACAACGTATCCGCGTACGGTGCTGCTGACACAGAACAGCATACGTTGTTTACGTATGTGATACTCTCCAAAATGGTGCCAGGGTGACACGGAGGAGACGAATTGTTGAATAAAGTCATTATTTTTGTTTTCTTTATGCAGAAAAAGTATTCTTGTAGCTTCGTAAAATTACGGTTGAACCACTGATGTCACATGGATTATTTTAACGGTGTCCTTACTATGTTTCTGGACGTTGATCGTGTTAGGATCCTTGCTGTCTATGGGAGGGACAGAGCTCTCAGAATTCATCAAAAATATTTTCATGTGTGTTCCAAAGATGAACGAAGGTCTTACAGGTTTGGAACGACATGAGGGTGAGTAATTAATGACAGAATTTTCATTTTTGGGTGAACTATCCCTTTAATTATAATAATAAGTAATGTATTACAGTAATAAATAATTGTGCATGGGTTTGTCTCTCCTAGGTGTTACAGAGCTGATGCCAGACTACCAGCCGTCTCCAATGACAGACTCTGGCCTGAGCTCCAGCTCCACATCCTCTAGTATCAGTCTGGGCAGCTCAGTGCTGCCTCACCTCCCTCCTACTCTCCTTAATGAAGTGGACCTGTCTGCAGAGCAGGACGAGAAGGTCAAAAACCTCATCGAGTTCATCAGCTCAAGGTGAGGGGTCTCTGCAGGCCAGTCTGTCAAATTCTTCCTCTTAGGGTTGTGATTTCATTATCTAAATGCTGAATACACCAAACATTTTAACCAATAACATGCAATCCTGCTTGAGAGTTTTGTATGTTCAGGAGTGCTTCTGGCAAAGAAAGAATTGGGTTACGGAGCCTAATAATGGTTCAAAGCTCTCCATGACAATCCACAAAAATAAATGTTTGCTTAAACTTTAAGAAATTTAAAACACTTATGACAGAAATGTATTACTATTGTCTATTGTGAAATGTATCTATCAATAGTAATGATAATAGTAATGCATTTAAAAATAGTAAATACATGTATTAAAACATTACATTTATATATTATTTTTTTTCCACTTTTTTTTTACATTTATAGAGTATACAAGTTTTGTTGTGCTCCTTATTTGACAAAAAATTGAAGGTTAGGGTTATATTTTCATTTAATATTGGCATTTTAACCGATTGATTAAATTGTTAAAGTTTTATGAATTAATTTTATTACACACCGTTTTTGAGGATAGATTTGTATTAAAGTGTAAAACACAGAATCCAGAAAAAAAAAAAAAAGGTAGTCTATCCTTTGGAGTTTACTTGTAAACAAACAAGTTATGTTTACGTCATGATAAATATAAAAAATATTGTCATATTTTTGGCTGTATCACCCAATACCTTTTCGGAGCAATTGGCCCCAAGTCGCTGTGGATAGAAGTGAATAACAAATGTATAGATAAAACATTTAGTTTTTAGTATTAGTAATATTATGTCCTACTGGAGTACATGATAAGACACGATGTTTATGACTTTCTCATAATTGTCTTTGCATAAAAAGATGGAAAGGGAAGTGTTTTAACATCAAAATACAGAATTTTAGATTTAAATAACAGTGTGCTTTTTAAAAAAAATAATCTATGTTGTTCCTGCCTAGTTTCCCTGGATACATATTGAATGTACATTTATCTTTTGTTAAGATACTGTATTTTTTCCTCTGCCTGCAGCCATGTCTAACAGGAGAGGGTATTGTTGCCTTGCATGTGTGTGTGTGCGCTCAGTCTCATCTGTGTGAATGTTTGATTCAGAGTGTTTTTTTACATAATGGTTGTTCACTGAGAGTTGTGTGAGCCTGCTTTGCCTTTGTTCTATGTTAGACATTTCCTGTTGTGTCACTTCTTCTAATTCTTTTCTTCTGATTGGTTGGCCCATAGGAAACGTGGTCCGCTGTGGAACCATGAAGACGTCTCTCCCAAAAACCCCAACATCAAAAGTGCTGATCAGCTTAGTGTATTCCTTCGCCATGTTGTCAACGTCTTCAAACAGACACCGTCCGGTAAGACACAATTTTTGCTCATTTCACTGCACTGTAGAGGACCAACTTCCACATGAAGGAATGCTAATTTATTTCTTTAAGAGAATTGAAATGTTTCGGCTGTGGTTGTGATGGGTTCTTGTGCTGCATGTTTGATTAGGTTACCAGTTGGAGCAGGAACTGAGTGAAGTTGCTCTGCAGACAGCTCTGTCCTGCTCATCGCGGCATTACGCTGGTCGCTCTTTCCAGATCTTCAGAGCACTGAAACAGCCACTCACAGCCTCCACAATGTCAGACGTGCTTTCTCGTCTGGTAGAGACTGTGGGAGATCCAGGGGAAGAGGCTCAGGTATGTAGAAATGTTACATTCTTCCAGAAGTACTGATAAGAAAGTAACAGCAGGGCTCGGCAATGAGGATCTTTTTCTTCTGACCTGATCGGGCCACCATGCGTCGTAGAAAACAGCTCAGGCGTCGTCTAACGTTACCTCAAGTTAACTTATATTATCCTATCTTGAACGGTTGATAAAAAAATAAAATAATAAAAAAAAAACGCTTAACTTTACTCAGTAACGAATACCAACTCAAACGCACAAAGCCTGACTGGGATAAACTTCCAGTGGGCACGAAAATGCCGATCCTGCTCAGCAAAGCCAACTGGTACCCACTTTAACGGTAAAATACACCTATAATCGCTCAAATTGCCCATCTTAACGATGTTTAACAGGTGGAGAAACAAATTTGTGTCAAATCTCAAACGTTACATTACAATCTGCACTAATTCTGCTCTATTCTGCTAAAATTAACAATAATTTCCCAAAAAATTGTTAAACAAGCATTCACTCACCTCATCCACGTTGAATGCTGCTTCGCGCCAGCCCAACGGACAGCTTCCTCAAGTTCATGAGTTGTTCGTCTGAAATTCCTCCGCGATTTAGTTAGTTCGCTGTATAGTCTGCCCGTGTCTTGTAAGTTTTTTTTTGTTTTTTTAAGTAAAGGCCAGCGGCAGACAGTGAATTGATCATAGCCTATAGCCTATGTTTGATCAATTTAGCCTTCTCAAATCATCAGGACTTGCCTAAAATAAAATCTATATATAAAACAGTTCACGTATATCACAATGTTAGTTTAAACGTTTAACCTATATAAATGTGAGCTGTTAGACGCATATCCAATCGTTTGCGGAGACTGGAAGCTGAAGCGCGCTCTGCAGGACACGGAGGCGCCAGTGCGATCACTTGCATTTTTCTAACAGTGGAAACAACTTAAAATACGCAGTCATTTTTGCTCATAAAGGTAAGAGTAATACATCATTCTAAACTGTAAAGGGT